CCCCAAAACCCCAAAACCCCAAAACCCCAAAACCCCTGGCAGATATTTAAGGATTGAAGATTATGAGTAAATATAAAATAAAACTAAGTATGAAGGTCCTCATTTCCCTCATAATGATTGTTGTCATAGTAGCCTCAAAGACGACGCTAGCTGAAAGTGGAGACTACAAGTTCACGATAAGTTTCTCAAAGAACTCAAGCAACAGCAGCAATTCTGATGTATCGTTAGGTTTGACCGTAGGGTCAACATCTCAACCATTGTCAAACAGTCAATTGGCATCAGGAGTGTGTGTGAATGTGGGAACTAACAATTACCAATTAGGCACACAGAGCACTACTTTGAAAGGATTTGCCATTGAATGGACCTGCTCAAGCGCCTGTACATCCTTGGCTGCTGTCTACTTCGGAGTGAACTTCTATGCAGGTGCTAGCTTTGGCCAAACTACTGTGCATGTCCCCTCAGCTCAGAGTTCTTTGAGTGCTGTTACTTCTCCAGCTGGTACTAACGACAATAATTCTACTGCTAAGACTATTTCGCATAGTTGGGCTGGACTGACTCCTACTCAGCTAGCCAGTATTGTCTACTTCCCAAACCAGACTGAGACCTGGTATGTCAGATGCTTTGGAAAGTTCAATTACGCTTCCTCTCTTAACTACGCTAGTGGAATCACTGATCTGACCTCAACTGTTGGAAATGGGAAGAACTTGTCTTTGAATGGTCACGGATATCAAGCAGCCACCATCCTCGCTGTTGTAGGAACCCTGGTTGCATCTCTTACATAAGGATATCAAGGTTAATCCTGATAAAAATTGCTTTGCTAAAATTTTCTTTCATTTAAAATTTTACGCCTTAATAAATTTTTACCAGTAATTTGATCTCTGGAAGCCAGAAATTTATTAAAATTAAGCTAATCGATCATCCAACGGCTAGGCTGAGAATTTCAGCTGGATTTCAAGCCCAGCTTCAGTATCTCCACAATTACTTTCGTTATTATGATTTGGTTATGATGCAATTCCTCTTTAGGAATATTCCACTCCAAAAATTATAATCTTTCAATACTTAAAGCTGAGCTCGGGGTTTTGGGGTTTTGGGGTTTTGGGGTTATGGGATTTTGGGG